AAAATAGACAATAATTGATATTGCTATTGTAGAAATTCCGGGGTGTTACATAAACAGCTTACAACACAACATTATCGTCTTACAGCATATCTAAACCACTTACAGCAATATACATCTAATACAGCTCATCATCATAATTCGGCATTATCAATTATTCAGCACAACATATTCATCAATTACAGCTCAGCTCAACATAAAACAACATTTCTCAAATAAACAGCTTACAACACAACATTATCGTCTTACAGCATATCTAAACCACTTACAGCAATATACATCTAATACAGCTCATCATCATAATTCGGCATTATCAATTATTCAGCACAACATATTCATCAATTACAGCTCAGCTCAACATAAAACAACATTTCTCAACATTTCACAACATCGAACAACATATAGTTAAACATCACCTCCGCGCCCGGCGCACTCCTGGTCGCGCCCGACGTGGCACAACCAGAGAGCACCAGGCGCCAGAGCGCCCGCCGTGACCCATCGAGAGAGCCCAAGGCTCACACGCGCCTGACACAATTCAAATTGCGCCCAGCGCCCCCATGGCAGAGACTTCCAAGAAGTCCCCACGCCTAGCGCGACGATGGTCGCGCTCGGTGCCACGCCAGTAACCCAAAAACTTGTTACTTACTGATATCGCGTCCGGCGCGATCCAAGTCATGCCCGGCGTGGGCCATCCAGAGGCTTACATCCTCAAGCTCACCCGGCGCACTCACCTTTGCGCCCGGCGGGCTTGCCCAAATGGATCCCTCTGATGGTCACGCGCCCAGCGAGAGGAACGGCGCCCCGGCGTGATGCTCAGCAACAACTCACCAAGTTCGAAAATTTTCCCAAAACCTGCAAAAATCCACATTTCCAGCACATGCAATCCATTCAAAGTACCACGTTTTCATCAAACATCTCAAAAATACAATCTTTTTCAACATGCAACCACAAATCATCAAAAAACCAAATTTTCACCCAAAACCCCAAAAACCCCGAAAACTCCATTTTCTTCAAACAACCCTCAAATCCGTAAAGAGTCAACCAACAAGTGAGTCTCAAGCTCACTCTCCACAAATCAGCACAATCAATACTAACTTCCCTTACCTCGGTGCAAGGAATCCGAGCTTCCGGGAAGAGACAAACGACGAACGGAGGAGAAGAGTGACGAAGAAGAAGGGAAACAGCTCAAATCCACACGGCTCGACAAGAAAAATCAATACCTACTCAGCACATTGAATCCAAGCAAAAGAAGAGAAGTGAGAGTTTGAAAGGGAAGAAAAGAGTGAATCAGCAAAAGTGAGTGAGAAGAGAGTTTGGGGAAGAAAAGAAAAAGAAAAGGAGTCTCACATTTATCTCTTCTAATTTTTTACTTCCATTATATATATATATATATATATATATATATATATATATATTTGTATTGTGTATGTATATGTTTTTTATTTATGGGAATAATACCTCTTACCCTCTGCCAACACTTATTATTCTACCATATAAGATCAAAATTAAAAAATAAAAGAATTGAAAAACAAGATATTTTAATAAATTAAATTTTGACATCATTATACGAAAAATAGATTTTTTTTAATCTAAAAACTATAGCATATTATATTAATAAAAAATTAAAGACAATTTTATTAGTGAAGACAATTACTTAACAGAATAAAGTGTGAATAAAATATTAATATATTAAATATATTAAAGATAATTAAAATGTAATATAATATAATCTATATTATATAATAATGAGAGAAAAATTTTAGTGAAGACAATTATCCCCAACTTCATGAATATAGATCCGTTTAGTCAATACATATTAGAGGATTCTAGATATGAATGAGGTGTATCATCCCCTGAGTTGCAATTTTTTTCTTCTATTATTCCTTTTGTCCTTATCCTTTCATAGATGACAGGTTGCATATATTTAACATTGTTTTCATCGATACACAGTGAATTATTTTATTTTCTCAATTATTTTCCTGAGCCTTTTCTTTATTTTTCTCTTTTATGGTATCATTAATATTTAAGAATATTTTCTCTTATTGATTATTTTATTAAAATTATGAGGTTATACAAGTCTTACATTTTATAACGAAAAAGCTCATTCAGAAATATATAAAAATAAATAAATTAAAACAAAATTAATTTATTACAACCTCAAATAAAAATTCTTTAAGCCCATTTCGCATGTGAGCTGCGATCGACAAATCTGCACCGTAACAGACAAAGCTTAATCTCATACACACCAATATTTGCTTTCACAAATTACGTATAAATTAGTTTGTAAATTTTTTATATAATATCTTTAAGAAATTACAAATTAACTTTTACATGGGATAATTTTAATTTCTAGAAATGCATGTTTCATTGTTTTTCTGTATTTTTTTTTTCATAAGTTCTTTAAGAAAAGTTTATCTAAACAAATTTATCACTTTAAAAGCTCTTAAAAACACTTTAATATATAAACACCATAACCAAATGTAAGGTTAAGTAATATGATAGTTTGAACATTTTGAAGTACCCTTAAAAATAGAGTAAATTACAGTGGTACTCTCTACTTTTTTTTATCCTTACAATAACTTTTCTTCATTGTTTAAAAAATATTACACTAGCAGTTTTTATACATTACAATGACTACGTACTTTTAATTATTTGAAAAACATTCCATTGTAATCTCCAATAAAAAAAATGCTATTACAAACACAATTAAGGTTTTCGTGAGATTTCATAAAACTATAGGAGTAATCGTGTAATTTACTAAAAAAAATTACATCATGTGTAAGCTGTTACGTAATAAAAAAAAGAGGTAGTTCCGTCTTAAACTTTTCCTTCTCTAAACAGTAATAAAAGTCATTTTCTTCGTCCATTTTCCTTTTGCTTCTAATCACGGCTAAGCTTTTCCAATCAAACCTCTATTAGTTAACAATTTTTGGCTATTTTACTTTTACTTCCTGCCAGTGACGGCCAGGAATTTTAAGTAGTGAGATCATGTTTATATATAAATTTCTAGTAATAAATATATAATTTTATATTTTTTGAAATAAAAATATATTTTTTAATTGTTTTTTATAAGATTTTATATTCTAAAAATATTAAATAACTTTTTTTAATATTTTTTAAGTTATTTTTTTATATAAGTAACAAAATAATTATTTAATCATTTATTTTTTACATTAAAGTTTTATCTTTTAAAAGAGTATAATATAAACTTGAATAAATGATCATTTTTTGATTTAATTTACTTAATTATAATTGACATGACACATCGTACACGTATATATATAAATTTGTTAATTCACAACTATTTTTTTTAAGGAGTAAGTTAACAAATTATATTTAGGTGCATTTTAAAAAATATTACGATTATAACTTATTAATATACTCTTTTTTTAAAAAGGAGAAGAAGATGTATTTTAACAAACTTCACATATATTTAATAATTTACATCCATTTATTTTTATAAAAAATTAAGTTAACAAGTTACACTCAGATATATTTTTTTTAAGAAAAATATACTTCAAAAGTAATATATTAATTTTAAAGTTTTTTTTACAACAAAAAATACTAAAAAAAATAAAATACTTAACTTTTAACCTGATAAATAATATATTTTATTATAATATATATTAAGAAAATAATTGAAGTTAGTGGAGAGCCTCCACTTCAACTAACCTGCATCCGTTCCTTCCTGCCAGTGATAAGTCTTTTGACTCAACAACTCAATGAATTCATATCATCATTCATCAAACAAAAAAGAAATTATATCATCGGTATTTAGGAAAATATTTGTTTTTAATTATATCATCGGTATTCATTTTTCCCACATGCAGAAGATGAAATATCTAAATAATATTGGGCAGAAATGATTATTTTTTTATTACCAAACCCACCTCGTGCAGGCACCTCCATGAATTTTCTTCCTCATTTCAGCCATCAGAGTGGAAAACTGAGCATTATTGTTAAATTAACAGATCAATGTCGTTTTGCACCATTCACTTAATAAATTAATAGACATCATAAATTAGTGTCAAAAAGCGACCAACACATGCAAGCTGGTTTAAGAGTATAAATATGTAGCTAGATGTTTGGGTGGTTCATCAATAAGCTACGCACTCTTTCCCTTAGAAATTAAAGAGCAGTTTGTATCAAGCAAAGATGTCCATTGCAGCTTCAGCACTTGTTTCAACCCAAAATGCAGTATCTGATGTCAAGCGACCTTGCGCCAATTTTGCTCCTAGCATATGGGGAAATACTTTCCTTCAATATGCTTCTGAATCAATGGTACATTATTATGTTAACATAATTTATCGTTTTGAGATTTGTTAACATTATGTTATTTTTTAATGTAATGAAGTATATCATTTTTAACTTAATTAGATATCAATTTTTATGTTATAAATCTTTACATTTTAAGATGTTTATATATTTGCAGCACCAAGAAGTCGATGACATTATGAACCAGCAAGCTCAAATCCTAAAAGAGGAGGTGAAAATGATGTTTCAATCATCAAATCCAAATATCATGCAAAAATTAAATTTCATTGACTCCATCCAACGTTTTGGTATATCCTACCATTTCCAAAAGGAAATTAATCAAGCATTGGAACAAATTCACAATACCTTGACCAAAGATAACACTATCATAAGTGAAGATGGAAATCATCACTTTCTTGCTCTACTCTTTCGATTACTTAGGCAACAAGGATATCAAATTTCATCAAGTAAGTAAAGAGCTTTTTTGATGATATTTATACAAGAAAAAATACTACACACACCGATAAAGTTATTTTTCAAAATTCAAAATATATTAAATACTTATTATTTCTTATATATGTTTAATTGATTGAGCAGATGTGTTTAACAAATTCAAAAATGAGCAAGGAAATTTCAATGAAACACTTGCCAACGATATTCAAGGGTTGTGTAGTTTGTATGAAGCTGCACATCTAAGAATTGATGGGGATGATGTATTGGAAGAAGCATATGACTTCTCAAATACTCAACTTATGTCCTTGGCCAACCAATTGAGTCCATCTCTTGCTGCACAAATCAATCACTACTTAAGGCAACCACTTAACAAGAGTGTACTTAGGTTTGAGGCAAGGTATCACATGACTGTCTATGAACAAGATTCTTCCCATAATGAAATCTTACTAACCTTTGCAAAAGTAGATTTCAATATTCTTCAAAAAATGCATCAAAAAGAAATTGGCATTATCACCAAGTAAGTACCTTACCTTTAAATTTTGTTCTTTAAAGACAACATATTCATATTTAAATATACTATCTTGCAAAAATGAAATATAATAAAGATTAGTACAGTATTAATTTGTTAAGTTGTATTTCTTTTTTCATAGGTGGTGGAAACAATCAAATGTTATGAAAAAGGTCCCTCATGCTAGAGATAGATTAGTTGAGTGCTATCTTTGGATCTTGGCCATGTCTTACAAGCCTGAAGATAGCAACGGAAGAATGTTTGCGGGAAAATTGAGCACTGTTATCACTCTTTTAGATGATGCTTATGATGCTTATGGAACTGTTGAAGAACTTGAACTCTTGACTGAAGCATTTAAGAGGTTGATGTGCTTTGCAAATTATAGCATATATATAAATTGTTCAAAGGGTTTAGGGTTTAGGGACTATTAAATAATCATGATTGATTATTAGCTCCATATTTCACTCTTAAAGGTTTGTTCTTTTTGTTAATAATTGTTTGATTTTTGTAATTTTTAGCTTCCGATCTACATGCAAACCCACCAGCTTCCCTTACCTCGGAGAAGAAGAATCTGAGCTTCGGGGAAGAGAAAGAAGAAGAAAAAAAAGATCCGTGTTTCCAACTAGAAACCTACACCTCTACTCAACACCTTCAACAACAACAACACCACAAGGAAGCTCATAAATTTTGGAACAAAAGAATAGGAAGTGAGGAGAAAATGAGAGTGTTGAGGAGAAGGTGGAAGAAGAAGAATGCCTGCGAGTCTTACAAAATAGACATCCACTAAATAATGGGGTAGGGACCAATAGTAAGATAACTTTACTCATCGTTGCCTACACTTCAAAAGATATTAAAAATACTTTTAATTACATAAATTAATTTTGTTTAGTTTATTTTTAAGCTAAACATGTGTCGTAATTATTTATTTTAAGTACAACTATATGTTACCAAATTAATTTTTATTATAAATATTGTGACACTCTCTACCCCGTTAACCAACATATATAATTAATTCATAAGGCTGTGAAAAAAACTTTCTAAATTAAAGTTTGTTTGTAAACATACAAAAGACTTGAGAACATCTTCACGAGTAGAGGACTCACATTGTTTCACAACAAGCAAACATAGGGGAGTGAGCAATATGACACCCTCTACTCCCTTTTCTCTTGTGTTGTTTTCTCTAACTGTCATACAGGTTATTATCAGCATGAGGCTGAGGATGTTGGTGATGAAGCTTAGGATTCTACGTTGGGATTTGCTCTGATAGGACATGTGACATCGGGGCATAAATAGGATTAGATTGGGATGTTGTTTTTATTAAATTATTTTTAAAAAACTCAGTTTCATTTCCTTGTAATTTCTCTACATGTTATTTGGATTAAGTTTATGAATGCGAACTCTTTACTCTTATGTTGTTGGAGATTTGATTGTCTTATGTTGAAGAATTGTATTTTATTTTATTTATTTTATATAATTACTATATATGTATGTTGGGGTAGAGGGTGACACACCTATCATGCTCATCCTTATCTCATATGAAAGATAAGAAGATTTCCTACAACTTTTATGAAGATATTAAGTCCTAATTCCATCATCTACTTTGTCAAAACTTACAAACTTCGCAACAGCTATAACTAATACTGACAACTTGACCCCTGTTCACTAAAACATCCATATCTAGAGTTCTAGAACTCCTTTTTGGGTGATTCTAGCTCCATTGGAAATACAAAATCCAAGGCTACAACTTTTATGAAGATCACAAAGTCAAATACTAAAAGCCCGAAAGCGCTCAGCACTTTACCTCTAGGAATTCTCCTCTGGCTCGCGGCCCCTAAAGGGCTCAGCCCTTTAAAAAGGCTCAGCCATTTCCAAAGCGCTCATCTGTTTCCAATGGCTCAGCCCTTTTCCTCCAAGGAGTGCTCCCCTTGCATGCTGCCCCCAAAGGGCTCATCCCTTTTAAAGGGCTCAGCCGTTTGTGACAGAAACACAGTTCCTTTACCATTTTTGAACGACAACCTACAAATCAAAAAATTCCCAACACATGCAACCACCTCCAAACACTTACCATTGAATCAAACAACTAAAAGCAACTCAAAACATCAACATGCAACTATAGGATCACCACAAATCATCAAAAACACCACATGCAAACCCACCAGCTTCCCTTACCTCGGAGAAGAAGAATCTGAGCTTCGGGGAAGAGAAAGAAGAAGAAAAAAAAGATCCGTGTTTCCAACTAGAAACCTACACCTCTACTCAACACCTTCAACAACAACAACACCACAAGGAAGCTCATAAATTTTGGAACAAAAGAATAGGAAGTGAGGAGAAAATGAGAGTGTTGAGGAGAAGGAATTTACTTATGATTCACATGCATTATTATTTATTCATCTAAATACCATAATATTTCTATGTATCTCTCTCTTTCTGTTCCCTATATATATGGCTTAAATAATTATTATTAAAATTATTATATTCTTAATTGGATTTTTTGATTTTCTTTGATTGATATATAGTTTGAGCAACAAAGAGTACATGTTGCCTCATCTGTGGAATGTTGCATGAATCAATATGGAATTTCAGAAGTAGAGGCCTATAAGCTCATTCGCAAGGACATTGAAAATTATTGGAAGGTTATAAATGAAGAGTACTTCAATTCCTACAATATCCCCAAATCTGTGCTTGATTGTGGAGCTAATTTTGCACGTATGTAAGAGTTTCCTTATGAAATCCGCCTGGATAAATTCACAAATGGAGAATTATTAAAAGATGATGTTTCTTCTCTACTTTTGAATCCCATTAGCCTCGAAGAATGCAAGTAGAAGAAGCTGTCTCACATATAAGAGGAGGACATGTTGTTTTAACTTTTGGACGTACTATCATTGTGCAATATGCACTAGCAAGCATAAATAAAAGGGCATTGTGGGTGTGAAAGTCGATCGATTCATCCTACATGAAATGCTCAATGTGTAAGTTGTGATAAATAATGTTGTTTGTAGTCGTGTGTGCTGTCATTTGCTAATAAAATTTGTGCTTGTTAATTTTTGTATCACTATCATTTGTTATTCAAATCTTACTGCTTAATATTTCATTATTCTCGCCCCAAGCCATCAAACCACTCACTCTAATATGCCATACCATACGCAAAATCACAACCATTAATTGCGCCACACACATGATTTGCTATCACTCATCACCACATAGCCTTTACTTTAATTGTGGGATCTAGAAATTATATGGATAGTTAGATAATGCTTTCTTAAACATAAAGCATAAATCATAAATATGATAAAATAAAGTTTAAATATATTTTTAGTCTCTTAAATTTAAGATAAATTTATTTTTGATCTCTCAAATTTAAAACAATTATTTTTAGTCTTTGTAATTTTCAAAAATCTTATTTTAGTCTCTCCGATCACCAATAACATATATGAAAGTGACAAATTAAGATGTTTATACAATATCAATTGAATTTAATAATATTTTCACCAACAGAAACATCAATAAATAAGATTTTATGTAATAATATTTAATAAATTTCTTAACAAAATTTGAATATAAAGACTAAAATAAGATTCTTTTGAAATTATCGGACTAAAAATAATAATTTTAAATTTGAGTGACCAAATATATATATATATATATATGAGGAGGGTTCAAATGACACCGGTATAACTTTTACTAAGTGTTACACCGCTTAATAACTTTAATGTGAATTTTGTAAATCCAACCGTTAGATTGAAAATTCATATCACTTTATATGTGTATGTCAAATTTTGTTAAAATTGAAAAACAACTTGAGGGTAATCAAAGTGTTTGTATTTTAGTATATTTTGAAATAAATATATTACGTCAATTTTGTTTTATAAAAATAAAGTATCAAATCATCTTGGATTAATATAAAATTTTGTATATATGATCTAAGAGTAAAGATATTTCAATCTAACAGTTGAATTTATAAAATTCACATTTAATATAAATTTATTAAGTGGTGTAACACTTAGTAAATGTTACACCGGTGTCGGTTGAACCCTCCCCTCTCTCTCTCTATATATATATATTATTTTAGAAGCCTAAAAAAAGAGCTTTTCTCACTTTATGGTTGGGCCAGTCATGTAAACATGGCATCTTTTAATCTTATAATTTAAAAGGAATATATAAATTGTGATTTGTTGATCTCAACTTTCAAATAATATTTTATTTTGTAGCCATTAATTAATTTCATGTTAATAGGGTTAATTTATATGTGGTGTTTTACTAATCCCGTATTAATTTATTTAAGACGCTTCAGTTGTGACAATCGATAGTCTCAAATATTATCTAAATTTACATTAATTTGCATACACGTTTTTTTGCTATGTTTTGTGAACTGGAACAGTTAAATCAATATGACTAGAATGTATCCTTAACCGGTTTGATTGGTTCAGCGAATTGTTTTACATCGTATTGATAGAAAACGAATAGAATCAACAAAAACCAGTCAAAACAGGTAAAAAAAATCGGTCAAACTGATTTGAACCAATCCAATTTAATTTTTTAACTTTAAAATTTAATTTAAAGTATTTTTTTTATTAAAAATAATAGTTATTAAAAATTATAAATTAAAATAATTTATTTTTAATATTTATTTAATAAATATAGTTTAATCATTTATATTAATTTGTAATTTGTAATTTTTAATATTTTTATTTTATAATTTATATTATATTAATTTGATACTTTTTGTCCTAAATATAAACTTGTTATTATTTATAAACATTATTATATTTTATTAAAGCTTAACTTAACTATTATATTTTATATAATTTAAAATTTTATGTATACATTAAATTTTAAAAATATATAAGTAATATTTTATTTTAATTTTTAGTATTATAAAATTTAATATTATATTTATTTAATATTAGTTTTATATTAATAATAATAATAATTTTATTAATATTAATTTGATCACAATTTAATCATGATTAAATCAATAAATCTTAAATTAATACTTAAACCAGTTCATTAACCCGCTTGATTTAAAGAATGTGTTGTCTATATGTTGCACTAAAAATTGGTCTATTGTTATATCTGTAACCACTACAAGAAAAATGACTTATGCCTACACACAAAAAATTGGAACGAGAAAAATTAGAAACAACGCTTCGTTCGATCTAACTCTCTGATTCAAAACCTCGCACGCAATCATGACATGAAGAAATATATATATATATATAGAGAGAGAGAAGAGAAATCTGACCTGAATGGCGCGAATTTGTGGAAAGTGGAATGGTTATTCGGTGGAGTGAAAAGGGAGAAGTTTGAGCGATTTGCGGAGAGGGAGAGAAAATATGATGGTTTGTTATGTGAGAACTAAGAAGAAGAGAGAAAGCGAAGGGTTTATATTGGAAAGGGGAGAGAGAGTGCGCATTTGGCAGACATAGTATCGTCACCAAGGCATTCCTTTTGGCGGGGCACAGAGGTGTGGGGAGCCAGGAGATTAGTAGACTTGCCCTGCTTTCCTTTCCTCTGCCCAATCACTTGGAGTTGGAGGGAATTTGTTCTGCTTTTTATTATTTTTAAGTTTAAAATAATATTTGCTGAACCAAAGTTATATCTTGAAAACATAAATTAGTTATTCATCGTCAATTTTGTAATAATGCGTAAAAATGTCATTAATAATAAATTTTTGAATCGATGTAATTATAATTTGTAAGGGTCATTTTTGAAAAATATAAAAGAGATTGAGAATAATTTTAAAAATATAGTTTAAGAGGTGATTAAAGGAATATAGACTTATACCTAAAATAGTAGTAGGCATAAGTCTTTGAAGGCTTTTACCTACATTGATAATTTGTTGGTAGAAGAATTTTAAGTTGTATTGAGTTTTGCCTACACCAAATAAAAGTGGGTATAAATTTTTGAGTTATACCTACATTAAACATTTGTAGGTAAATTTTTTTTTTAATTTTACTTACACTAATTCAGGTCTATAGGTAAAAGTGTCTATAGGCATAGGTTATTTTTTTGTAGTGAACATAAAAAATGTTTATTAAATAAATAATAAAATAATTTTTAAAAAGAAGTGCTGATGTATATAATATATATCTGGCATGTTTGAGACAAAATACAATATTATACTAATATATATTAGTATATAAAGTCGTATTTAAGTCAAAAATTGGAGCCGTGTTATGAACAAGGTCTATCTGGGCATGTGAAAAAAAAGCTCAATCGCCGCACACGATTCATTTGGCAGCATCTCACATTTATTATTACCTCCTTTTGTCCTATATTGATATTAATATTCGGATACCTAATATCTATTTGATCCTATTGCTCGTGATTTATTAGTTTTACTTTTAATGCTTTAAACGTTTTATTATCATAATCATTATTATGTTTATATCCTGTCTATAATTTATTTTTGTACTATTTTTCGCTTATGTAATTTCTCTGTTTAATATGGTCGTGAATTCGTGATAGTGTTAATTACTATTACTAATTTATTATTGTGGTCATAGTGTATTATTTAATGCTACACCGATTAGAATGTGATAGATGCCACGCTTAATTTTTTTTTTTAATTTATCATGCATAAAAAGAATAAGTAGCCTTTTTAATTTTTCTTGCAAAAATCAACGAAAGAATAAAAAATATATATATAATAAAGAAAATAATAAAAATAAGAAATTGTTTTAATGTATTTACTTATTTTTTTTTTGTTTATATACTTAAAATGTTTTAAATTCTCTTTGTCTTCAAATTCTTCTAATACTTGATGGAAATTAAAATTGAATGAAAGTTATTTTTTTCTCTCTATTTTATCATTAGGGATGTCAATAAAATGTGTATATATAGATATTTATTGTTAAGAATTTTAAAAAGATAATTAAATATGTAACGACCCGTCATGGCCGTCACACTGCAGAACAACACCATATATTACTAGAATATATATTAAAATAGTATAATAAGAAAATATATACATTTATCTAACCATAAAGGCTCAACAGGCCAAATAAAAATATACAATGCCAACAAAATGCTACTCCAAGGTAGCCTACAAAAAAAAAATATCTACTCCAACTTCTACACCACCAAGTGGCCTCCAACAGCTCACAACAAACCTATCCCTGCCTACTCTCATACATAGTATGATCATCGTAGTCCACACCACATGAAAACATGCAAGGGTAAGCTAATGAAAAGAATCAACAAATATACATAAGCAACTTACAACACAACAACACTATCATCATCCTCAACGGGTTCAACATACAACACATGGTAACACACAACTCATTCACAGCTTCACAACACAACAACATATATACAACTCATATCAACATCAATTCAACTCATCAACAACTTATGCGTCGTCACGCATTTACAACTCAAAGATCTCCTACAACATGAGTGAGCAGTCTAAGTGGCTAGGTCCTACCGAACCGACAACACAAAACCTTTTTGGGCTTGCTAGGTAAATAACAAATTTAGATATCAATCCACAACACGATAACAGTTTCTCAGACTTTGCTACTTAAACAAGGAAGTATAGTACTATGTCAGGATAGGACAGCTGGGTTTAGGCCTACCACGACATTAGCTAGCATAATTAAGCCACTTATGAGATTAGCCTACTGACTATCCTCCAAATACTACAACCCTTCGATACTCGGTTGGCCGGGAACTAAGTTTTTGACTTTGTACTTTACTCGAATTGGCTGCTTGTAATCGATATAGCTTGACCTGACCCCTATACCGTGGTCGCTTTTTACATGTGTGCCTCGACCTTTCCCACACATGGGACCAGCTAAGTCCTAGAGGAGAACAACACATCATCTACTCCAAGGGACAAATTCCCAAGTAGGGTTTTTCAATAAATTGGGCTCTTAAAGCACCACAACTATCTCAATCCACACAATGGGATAAGCAACTTCGAAAACATCTCCTCTACTCCTAGTGATCAACAACTCATCATCACAACACGATCAACACAGTTTTCAACTCAGCATCTCAATCAACTTTCAACTTGAACAACACTGTCAACTCACAACTTTAACAACA